GTATTGTTTATTTGTTCAATAGATAAATTGCCTTTTTCCAAGACAGTTGCCATAGGGTTGCCCCTTCATTTTATCACCACAACAACGATCCTGTGAGGTAAAGGGGGCTGTGAGCATGTGACTAGCCCAAAGCCATTCAGTGAGTTTCCATGGCAGAGCGTGGACTTGAACCAGGGTCTTTCCAATCCTAGTCCTGCACTTATCCACAGCATCACCCTGGTGATAATTCTGGATAAGGACTCTTGCTTCTTTTTCATCCCAAAGGAAAGAGTAAGCCAGCAGCTTCTACACACAGCTTTTAAATTTGAATTCTATTTGTACTAAGGAAGTTCTACAAGACCTTCACTAGATACAGAGAATGTTGCATAAGCCTCTTTGAGCATTGATCCATTGTTGATCATCAGCATTTCCACACTGCATTCCCAAATTCAGTAAGATGCCTGCCTCAGCTACACCCACCTGGGATATTTAACCTTCAGTTTGCTCAATTTCACGGTAGTAACGTCATCAGCCCACAACTCAATCTTTTCTTTTTTCAGTTGGATGATCTCAGCTCCTTGGCTGACCAAAACGATGACGCGATTGTCTTCCAGATTTATCTAAGAAATGCAAACAGTGCAAATGTCACCTTATATCATGGATATAGTGACTATATGTCCTTCATTATAAAGGACAGTCCGTTATTTCAGAAAGCTCTCCTTTAGATTTATTTTTCAAAAACTCACTTTTGTCCTTTATTTTGGTAATTTAACTTTTACTGTACAAATGGTATCACTTAATGCACAGTCTGATTGCAGAAATCCTTTTTAATTCTTCCTTCTGATAGCTTCATAACTTTTTATGCTTTTTAGATATTTTTATTAGAATATGTGTTTTTGTAAAGCTTTTCTTGGTTTTGCTCTTGAATTTTCCTTTGTAAAGCAAAGTTATAACATAAACAAAAATTTTTATCCTTATGAAAGTCTTTCAGATTTGCCCCTTTTTCAGGTTTGTTGATTGCAGAAATCCTTTTTAATTCTTCCTTCTGATAGCTTCATAACTTTTTATGCTTTTTAGATATTTTTATTAGAATATGTGTTTTTGTAAAGCTTTTCTTGGTTTTGCTCTTGAATTTTCCTTTGTAAAGCAAAGTTATAACATAAACAAAAAATTTTATCCTTATGAAAGTCTTTCAGATTTGCCCCTTTTTCAGGTTTGTCCTTCATTTTTCCAAGACAATATGGTCACCATGATCATGGAGCAACTTTTGAATGTGCCATATTTCCAATAATCAAATGGAATAGCCATAGGGAATTTCAGTGCTGTATATAGACCACTACTGAGATATGTACCAGGGCAAAGAGTCACTTCCATATGTGTTCAGGTTTTTCACAAAAGGTAACTTTTCTAGCCTTTAAACTTACATCTTTCCTTGTATGTAGGAATGTATCAAGGAAAGATGTGCTATATGTGATATATCAAGGAAAGATGTTCAACAACTGCCATTGTAATTGCTGAGTAAACCCAGCAGCTTCCTATTCCACTATTCCTATTAGTAGAAGGGCCTTAATTATACTGGGATATCATTTACCTGTCTATCTGTTAACACACACACACATATATACACACACACAAACATATATTCTTCAGAATAGTAGGGCTGGAGAAATAACTTAAAAATCAAGGCAATGATTTTATCACCACTGAAGTTATTCGTAAAATCTGGAATGGTAGACACCACTGTTAGTACCTATGTTTACCCCTATTCCAAGGGAGTGGGTCTTAGCCATTATAGTGTCCTTTTATAAAAAAGCAGTCAAGGTTTGCCTGCTAATTATAAACCCATCAGTCTTTTAAATACAACTGGTAAACTTTATGCTAAACATCCCTATAAAAAATGTATAATTTGGGTCAATTCAGAACATATATTGCCTGATGAGCAAGCAGGTTTTAGAGCTAGATGTTTGATTATAGATCACTCTCTAATCTTACAACATCCAGTGGGAAAGTATCCTGGGAAAGCTGGGTCTGCAGACTATGCTGCCTTCATCAATTCTAGATTTGCATTCATCTTAGATGTAGGAAGTGGTACTAACTTAAAAATTCCACCGCTGATAAATGCTTGCTTCTGTTAATATGCAAACTTTATGAACATTCTAGATTAAACGTTTGATACAGTATGCAGGGACATTACAGCAGAGAAATTCTTAACCATAGAGGAGTTGGGCAGGGCTGCATCCTATCACCTTGGCTCTGAAACCTATATTCTGCTGTGACCAGGCTAAATAACATTGCATCCCATGCTCCAAAGCTGGCTGATAAACACATTGCAATAGTTGTGTATGCAGTTGATGCAGTACTGTTAACACCCGCACCAACTGGTATAAAGTGAACTTTGGATGCTCTGGCCACGTATTGTAAGGAGGAAGAACTGAAGATAAATGATTCTAAAACTAGGATTTTGGTATTTGCCAAATGCTGTAGAATGAACTCCCAACTGAACAAGTTAAATCTTTAAATATTGGGGAGCAGTGATTCACTGCTAAGTATGTGTAGGAACCATCAGGATTATATTGTTCAAAATGCCCCCAAATCAGCAATAGCCTGGCAATCTTTTTATGACTTTAGAGGAGAATTAAGTCTGTCAGTTGCTCGCAAAGCATTTTCAGCAAAAGTTTGCCTCAAACTCTTATTTGTTGCCCATTTTAGACCCATATAGCTTTTGCTCCCTAAGAGCAAAATCTCTACCATCTAAATTTAAGAATTATTTTCCAAGATAAGCAAAGTGTGCCTAATGTGGTCCTTTGTCATGAAGGTGGTGTCATTAGAGTAGAGACCAGCATGTGGCTATACATATTTTCATTCTGGTTGAAGCTACAGTTTTTTCCAGCGCGGCTAGGTCCCTTGATCCTAGCTGATAACTTCGAATCGACTTTCTTTTCATGGGACGTATTATTGATGATCAGCTACAAGCAGGTGGCATCAAGCCTTAAACAACATGTTATAGACGCAGAAAGGCAATTAGATTTATCAGCTCTACCTAGAGATGTTGTTTTGAGTAGCCGGTCTCCCTTTTTCAGACCAGCAAGATATTTAAACCAAATACCCATCCCTAAATTTAGGAGGGCACCAACTCTAGCATGTTTTCACATGCTTCCAACAGCTCTCCTTGAAGGAAAATTTAGGAACATCCCTTATTCTTTAAGAGTGTATCCTTGTGGCAAAAAGACAGTTGAAAATACAATGTATCATCACACTGCCCATTGTATGATGCACAGCTATATTTTATATCTCCCCAACGATTAAATTTCTGGACCATTTGCATTTATTTTATATAGTTGCTGTTAACCAAACAATATGATTCAGTTTCTTTGAATGTGACCAACTTTTGTTTGTAAAACAAACAAATAATCTTATTGATTATTTAGTTATTGTTTATTTTTATCTTCTTTTATTTTGTATGTTTTAATTTTTACCTTTTAAAAATGGAATTCTAGTCATTGATCCTAATAAAGTACTCTATACATGCACACACACACACCCCACATACAGTTATCAAATTATATCATAAATGAAGTAAAGGAAATATATTAAACCACACTTACTTGTGATTCTCTTTGTTGATGTACCCATCATATCTTCATTTATCACTATCACCCAGTGTCAGTTGACAGATTTACTTACTATGTAGTCTCCTTTATTTAGTTGATCTAGTCGGATATATACAGCCGCAGCAACAGAATCTGGCATGTCTCCATAGGCTGTAGAGTAGGCAGATTTCTGTCTGAAGACCCCTGATATAATGTTCTGCACCCTCTCTTGTTCATCAGGTTGCAGTGGTTCAGGAAGGAGACTTGAAAGTAAGCAAATAAACGTATATTAACCCTTGCTTGATCAATTTAAGATTTTGCTCTCAAAGACCAATGCTTTCCCCTCTAAGAAGAAATTCAGAATAGGAATCAACCTTTTTTAAAACAACAAACACCTTCAAAACGAAGAGGCATCTGCTGTTATTTTCCTTCCCTATGTCAGCCCTTGGAGGAAGACCGGATCAGGAAGCAGAATCCACAGGAGGACCAGAATTCTACTTTATTCAGGGGGGTTCTAATAACAGAATCTTGCAAGTCTGCTTCTGCTTCTCCTCCCCTCCCTTTTATACCCCAGGAGTCAGGGAGGAGCCAACCTGAATCTATTCTTAATACAATCTCCCTTCCCAAAACTTAAGGAATGCTTCTGTCCTCTTTGTTTATGTAACAGTTTCTGAAGTTTTGCTTCAAGGCCATTTCCCTGCCTCTCTACACCCTAACATTCAGATGGGTCTGAACTACAGATCCTACATCCTCAACCAGCACATGTCATGTGGGGCTGCCTCAGAATGGCAGGAGTTGTAGTCAAATAATCTGCAGGGAGTCAAGTTAAGCAAAACAGCTTTATTATTTATTTATTTATTTATTTATTTTTATTACAGCTGTCCACTCCCATAGATTCTTGGTGGCTTACAAATACCAATACAAAAGCAGGTAAAAACACACAACCCCACAGGCAGCCTGCACTAAAACAGCACAACAGTAACAACTCAAACCAGGGGCCCCACAACCACATCAACCTCAGGCCTGGGAACAAAACCAGGTCTTAAGCACTTTTCGGAACCCCAGGAGAGAAGGTGCTGTGCGTATCTCTGGAGGGATGCTGCTCCAGAGGACGGGGTCCATGACTGAGAAGGCATGCTTCCTCAGTGCCATAAAATGACAGCATTTAATAGAAGAGACCTGGAGTGCACCCACTTTGCCAGAATGTACCAGGCAGGCACAAACAGAGGTAGGTGGTTCCTCAGGCATCTAGGCCCTATGCCATAAAGGGCTTTATATGTCATGACCAGCCCCCTGAATTGCACCCGGACCTGAAAACAATACAGCTCACGTTGCAGTAGGAACATATGGGCATACAGGAATGTGCCCATTACTGTTCACACCATTGCATTTTGTACCAACTGTACCTTCCGGGTGGTCTTCAAGGGCAGCCCCCTGTACAGTACGTTGCAATAATCCAATTGTGGGGCGACCAGAGCATGAGTAACTGTCTAAAGGGCCTCCCAGTCAAGAAAGGGGTGCAACTGGCACACAAGATGAACCTGTGCAAAGGCCCTCCTGGCCACAGCTGCCACCTGCTCTTTGAGCAGTAGCTGCAAGTCCAGAAGGACCCCCAAGTTGTGCACCAGTCTAGAATGGGGAAGTGCTACTCCATCCAACACCAATGATGAAAACGTCCCCAACCCCGGGGGGCCAAAGAGCCACAGCTAGTCTTGTCAGGACTGAGCCAAAGCCTGTTCCGCCCCATCCAGACCCAAAGAGACTCCAGACTGGGTTGGCACATCAACAGCTTCACCTGCACAGCCTGGCGTTGAGATATACAGCTGGGCATCATCAGCATATTGCTGTATTCCCGTACACTACAATGAGGGCTGTAGGGCTGCTATTTAAAACAGCTGATCCAGGAGACCAAAGCAGCAATGTGACCTTGTTGGATTGTTAATTGTTTCTTGAGGTTGGCTTCTCAGTCTCCTTCCCTCACTTCATCTTCCTGGCCATGTGAGCCTCCTCTAATCCAGAGCTAATCCAGAGGAGGAGAAGGCGCTGCTTTAAAGGCCCCTTCGGGCAGTAGTGCAGCTAGCTAATTAGTTGTTATGGCCTTGCAGGGGGAGTCCTTAGATAACGCCTTGTTTCTCATCGAAATAAGCACAATTTTGTGGAAAGGAATAATATATTTTCAAATATAAGCAACTAAAATGGGCATCTGCAAAGCCTAATGTTGTACCAGGGGTCCCAATCAACCTTGATATTTCCATCAAGTCTCTTTGCTGCCGCTGCTCCCATCTCCTGTTTCTTTCTGGGCAGTGATGGTGGGGGGGGGCTTGGCTATGCAACCATGTGTCCTTGGAAACTGACCCCCAGGTCCAAAATAAGATAATCCTGCCTTGATTCTCTTCAGTGTAAGAGGAGGCTGGGGGAAAATATGTTGAGCTTTCAAGATATTTTACAGCTATAAAGTTCCAGTAGTCCTTGCGGTGTCTATTTCCAGATTTGGCCTACTTCAAAGGGTTGACATCGATCTTGTACGCTTCACTACTCTCTATTCAGAGAGGCATCTAGTCATGCCTTTGATTGTGGAAATGGGCATCAGATCCTTGGGAGTGGGGGGGCGCTGCTCACAGATCAACTTGCTAAAACGTTATTGCAACATTAATAGCAAGTGGATATACAAATAACACACTTGCACCATACCATGGTCTACCTAACACAGCATTTGGGACTAGGCTTGCCCCAGCCAGAAGCAGCTTAGCAGCCTGCAGCCCCATCACTTTCATGGGAGTTTTTCAGGGATATTTGGAAGAGCCCAGGATCAATTTCTCACTTTTACAACTCAGTGTGAATTGTTTGTGGTGGGTCAACTAACAGAATTTCCTGTAGATTGCTCCAGAGTGACTTTTGGGAGTCTGAGTTGGCTGAAAGAAGGAGCAGTCAAATGGGCTGTGCTCCTCATTGAGGGCAATGCTCTTTTGTTGGATAATTACCAGAATTTCCTACAAAGACTTAGAGCTGCATTTGATGATATGGCTAGGAGAGCAACCGTAAACTGAGAATCTCAGGATATCTAGCCAAAGTTTGCAGTGCTGAAGTACAGACCTCTGAGTCAGTTGCTACTGTAAGTGCCACACCTGTGGAACTGCATGCCCTGTGGCAAGCAAGTGCCCACATAGCTCCAAAGCCTTGTCTCCGGGAAGCCTGGCAGACAAGAGCTTGACAGGGGTACTCTCAAAGGATTAAGAAGAGCTCAGGCAACCGACAATAGGCAAATATAGATGATCAATATCATCATATTGCCACTTAATGTCACAGCTTTCTTATATGTCCCCCTTGTGTTGGATATTGATGGCTGCAAACTTATGATCCAGATGCCCACTGGGAGCAAGGGATAAATTCTTTTCCATCACAAAAGCGTCAATAGCACAGTTGGCAAACCTCCTGTTCTTATCCGTCTCCCTCTCCAGCACAGTGCTCTGAATCCCCTTCCGTGCCAGAAAAATATGCTTAGGCTGATGTTGTTGGAGAGGATGAAAGAAATACATTGCCTCCTCCTCCAGTGTGTAACTGTATTAAAAATTTGAACCTGGGAGCCACAATTCCAGCTAAAAGACAATATTCCACATCTACTCAAGAGTTTGCCACCTTAAACTATTTTATGGCTAACAGTCTGAAGAAAAGATTCATTCACCCTTTATCCTCACCTGCATCTGCATACAAGTAGACCTTGCTTAACAACGGTCATTGGGACTGGAATTTCCATCGCTAAGCAATGCAGTCGTAAAGTGCAACGTCACGTGACTGCATCATTTAGCAACAGCAATCCCAGCACTCCCCATTGCTGTTATTAAGCGAGTCCCAGGCAGCTTGCAAGCAGGCCGGCAGGCAGGTAAATGTCTACTGCTAGGCAGGGGAGGGCACACGAATGGCCTGCGAGGCCCAGTGCAGCAGGGCCAGGGGTGGCTGCTGCTGGGCAGGGGGGGATGTGCAGGGAGGGAATGCAGGTGGCCTATGAGGCGCCGTGCAAGCGTGGATGAGCCAGGCTGGGGATGGCTGCTGCCGGGCAGGGAAGGGTACGAGTGACTTACTGGAGTGACTTGCAACCTTCCTTGCCAGCTTCCCCATTGACTTTGCTTGTGGGCACTGGCAGGAAAGGTCGCAAATGGCGATCATGTGACCATGGGACACTGCAACTGTTGTAAGTGCAAGCTGGTTGCCAAGTACCCAGTTCATGATCACATAACTGCACGGGTGCTGGGACAGCCAGAACTTCGAGGATTGGTCATAAGTACCACTCAATCAGCACCGTCATAACTTCAAATGGTTGAACGAGTGGTCATTAAACGAGGACTACCTGTATTTATTTTTTATAAAAAAGAAAGATAATTCTTCTTTGAGACCTTTTCATGGTTGGAGACTTCTTAACTCCATGACTGTTACAGATCACTACTCACTGCCTCTTACTTCAGATCTGTTGGGCCACCTTCAGAAGACATGCATTTTCACGTAATTCATCAGACTGAAAGAGGGACCTGAACATTGAACTGCCTTTGATATCATGCATGGCAATTGAATACACAATAATTTCCTATGGTTTAAATGTCTCTTTTTATTTCTTGCAAGGGTCTTCTATCAGTTCAGAGAACAGCAAAATGTTTTCTAGACCACATTTTTAGCTACAAGGGCTTCTTCAATCATGTGATCTTAGATTGCAATTCTCAGTTTTCAACCAAGTTTTGGAAGGCCCTTTTCCAGCTATTAGTCATTCAGTTTCATTTGTCAGCCTCAAATCATGCAGTCTACAATGGATGAATAGAGATGATGAAATAATTATTAGAACAATAGTGGAGGTGCTTTGTTTCTTCTCAGCAGGACAATTGGATGAACTCTTCCTTCTTGCAGAGTTGCATATAACAACTCAATACATTCCTCCATAGATACGTCTCCCTTTCGGACAGTCCATGGCTACTATCCCTGCAGGTTGCCCTCCCAGGCTTCAGCATCTGCTGTTCCTTGTGCCATAGACTTCCTGTAGGAGAGGCAAGCTACTCAGCTCCTCTTAAAGGAACAGCTACATTTGACAAAGGCCAAGTGCACCACAGATGCACCCAGGCAAGAGGATGTCAAGATTGTGGTGGGAAATCCAGTAGGTTTTCACCTTCTGCTCCCCTGTCTAAGAAGCTGGACTCAGGGTTTATTAGTCCCTTCCCAGTTACCCAGCAAATTAACCCAGTGGCCTTTGATATGCAAGCACCTGTTTTGATGAAGATTCATCCAGTCTTTTATTCTGTTGTTGTTCAGTCATTAAGTCGTGTCCAACTCTTCGTGACCCCATGAACCATATCGCGC